TATTGTATTGCACATACATTTATTCCACCTCTCCCTTACTTGTTCCTCTGCAGATACAGCTCTGTCCCAACAACAACCCCTTCCTCATCCCATCCTCTCCATTAGGATTTCAGTAACCACCTTCGCTGAAGCCACAGTCCTTTAGTCTGTGGCTCTAGAGGGTTTATCATCTGCCTGATAACAGCTCAGAGATTGAAAACCCTCTCCTCCTCCCCACAAAAAAGAGAACAAAACCAACTCCCTCCCCCACCTCTTATCTCCTTCTGTCAGAGCCTCTGGGGCAGATCTGGTCAAACAGACTGGCCAGATCAGTTCCCTGCATGGCCCTGTTTCTGGGAAGTGGATGTGCTGTCCATTGGACGGAGGAAGTGCCAAGCCTTGGCAGGTTCCCTACTTATTTGCAAGACATAAGCTGCTGGCGTGGTGTCAGATGTGCATGCAAGAAAGCTGGATGCCAGTTAAGACCTACAGTCCTGTTTGTTTCATGCACTGTGAACTTATCCTATATACACTACGGGCTGGTTTACGCTTGAAGACATGAATATAAAGGTATACATTTTCTTTTTACCTTAGTAATCCAAGCTTTACTTCCACCCATGGAATAACAGGGGTTTGCTACCAGGGATCTTATTTTCCTCTTTTGCTCTCCCTCTCACTCTCTCTATCTTCATTCTTAACACTCAAGGTGAAGAAGGGATAGGAGGAGGACAGGTAGGGTTACAGTCCCAAGGTCCTAGTTCCTAAAGGTCCCTGAGTGACAGCTCTGTACATATCAGAAAATGATGCAAGAGTTGCATTGGCCACGTATATCCTGAGAGAGATTTCATTCCTATATTTCCTCCTTCTTCTCCTCCTCCACATGGCTGTCTTAGGCTGTTATGAATGGGAAGATGCAAAATATTCTGCCCCCAGCTTAGCTCCCTCAGTCTGGACTATCCTTTATGCTCACGTTACAGTCTGTGGTAAAGAACATGACCCTGCAAGCAGCAATCCTTCCCCAACCTGCAAACCAACCAAGCTCCAACCAGAACTGCCTCCTGCACCACCATAGCAAAAGTCAGAAGAGGCTCTACTTTGGACCTTTCCTCCCCCCTTTCCTCATTGCTCTTCCTTCATGAAGAAAAGGTGGACAGCAGCTGGCACACAAGCTGCAGCATGGAAATCCCCTCCGTCTTTGCAAGAAAACACATGTAAGTATACAAAACAATTATATAAGTGGGTATAATACCCACTGAACAAGAGGTTCATGTCTTTTCTTTCCTCCTGTGTGTCACGGCTTGAATCCTCTAAGCCTTGAGTATGATTAAAATCCTTTTTTTCCTTCCACTACCACCTTTCTGGACTGCTGGACCTCAAAACTTGATGTGGCTTTGTCGCTTTTCTAAAGAGTGGACTATAGAGGGGGAAAATGGAGTTGCCACCTTGGTTCTGAAGGAGGGCATTTCCAAAGGCCCTCAGCATTCTTCCTTTGTCCCTGTAGGGGAACACATTTCTACTGCTCATCCAACCTACAGGACACACAGTTGCTCTCCAGCATTCTGCCCCATCATCAGTAATTATAAGGCAGTTCCTGAACTTTGGAAAAGTCCTGACCACACACTCTTTGGCAAAGATTATTGTGTAGGACCAAATAGTCCAGATGTCTCGATATACTGACTCGATCAAGTAAAGCTGACCTGGTAATACCAAGTCAGAAACATTCAAAGAGAGAAACATGGATGGTTCCTGATAAGAAAGAGAACCCAGCCAACTGAGAACCAAGGCAGCAGCAAAGGAGTCTGGCTCCCAGTCCCAGCAAGTGAAGAAATCAGCTGAGCAGTGCTTAATCCCTGGAAAGCTTTTGGATTGTCATAGTGAACTTTTGGGCCCAATCTCTGGACGCAAATACTAAACTCAGGCCTCCCTGTGCCTGATCTTCAGGTGCTGGAGGACCTGGGCTGTACCTGCAGGGTACTGGATGCAGTCATTCAGGACCCTACTTGATGTGGGGTGCAGCACCCGAGCAGCAAAGAACGTAGGGTGGTTTTGCATCATCTGTGTGCTCCTGCCCCTGCCAGTCTTTGGGACCAGCTAGGAGAGCTTTCAGGTGCCTAACTGCTGCCCCATGTTTGTCAGGCTTCTAATACAACTATCAAATTACCGGAGTTCCTGAGTCATCTCCCTCTTCTTCATAGTTTCTTATCATATGGCCATTTGTTCTCCCTCCAGTCTTAGTAGGCTTCTTGTAACAGCCTTTCTTTTTCACTTTTATCATTCTGACCACCCTTTACATTGCAATCACATATATAAAGGGTAGGTGTTTAGATATTTTATTTACTCATCAATCAGCTGGTTAGACTCCCTTTAAAACTGAACCTGCTGATAGGCAGTCTCCATCTGGGAACTGCAGTCATCTGACATAGAAATATCCACCTACATTATACGGCTGATATCATAAACCATAAGTTTATTATTTCTATTAAAACATTTAAAGGCTATTTCCAAATTGAATCCCACTAGAAGGTGTAATTTTCTCCATTGGCCAAGCTTGAATTTCCTGCCTATCAGGTAAACAAAACCACCCAATCCAACCCCAGCCCTATCACCCAGCACCATTCAGTCTTCAGACTTTTATTCCTATACAGACCCATCTAGACCATAAACTGCAATAACATTTGAAAAATTTGTTTTCCACAGCAGTGCTCTTGAATGTGGAAACCAGCAAAAGGCTGTTCTGCAGGGCAGCTGGGAATCTAAGCCTGATTTAACAATTGTGCTAAAACCTTGGTGAGTGCAGGGAGGCCTGGACGAAATGTGTGCATGCATGAACATGAGAGAGGGAGACAGAGATTAGGGGTGACTGAAAAGGATGGATGCTCTGCTTTTTTGCAGAGGATTCTATTAGTGGAAAATGCATAAGACACATTCCTGTTATAAAAATAACAAAACTTATTTACTCTGATGAGCCCTGATCCTACTTCATTGCAGTCAAGGCAAAACTTTTCATGAGTTGTCAGGCCTGCAGTGATTCACATTTTTCTAACACTGTACAGACATAAATTAGTGAATGAGCAGATGTGCATTAGGTGCATCTGTCACCTGAAAAACAGGAGTTTCTCTGGTCTCAGGGGATCACTCTGCTCCATCAAGCAATGGGAATCGAGAGAAAAGGAAGATAAGGGGATGGCTGGATTCAAGGCAGTGTGTGTGTGTATCTGTATCTGACATGTAAAAACCTCCATCAGGTAAGAACAAGGTTCTGGTCCTTACTCCAGGAATGGCAGAATGACCCTGGGGTTAAAGTTTTGCACTTGTGAATTTAGTATCTTCATGGCTTTTATTAATATAAGGGAGATTTTCAATCATCAGTGATTGCCAAAGTGGCCAATAATTCAGTGATTTTCCTGAATGTCACTGGCTCCTTTGGAAAAAGCCGACCTTGCTGTCCAAGGCCATTACCCTTCTGAACCTTTAAAATGAGTGCCTGTGGGTGGAAGCTGCTACTGACCTGGGGGCTTCCACAAGCACTGACAAGCTCAGCATTTTCATCGCAACCTTCACCCTGCCCAGCCTTTGAAGATCATTGTCTTCCAGCAGGATGGTGCTCCATGGAACTCTACTGCATCCTACATCTTCTGCAAGAAGGGACACAGTGTGCTCTTCTCTACATTCTACATGTGTTAGCAGACATAAAGCAAGGCCTGCTAGAAGCAGAACAGATCAGAGGGAGCCAGCCCACCATTTCTTTCTGAACTACTTAGGAAAGGGGACAGTTAACTTTTTCAGATTTTTTCATTCTGAACCACAACAAAGTTAAACAACATCCACCCTTCCTTGCACCTTGCCCTAGGCTGTGGTCATTCAGTGGGCTGGAGTGGGAAGTCCCTTGTTCAGCACAAGGAACAGGCAGAGAGGGAGAAGGGTGGAGATTTCAGTCCTGCAACTGCTTTTCTCCCCAAACTCAGTAAGAAAGATGCAGGGTGGGAATGATTAAGAACAACCTCTCCTTTCAGGACTAAATCAGCTTACTCTACTAAAGCTCAGAAGCCAGCAGTGTACAGCAGCACTGTCCCATTGCTGATCCCAAAGTCCTCTCCTTCCTCAGCGAGTATATATTTGCACAATCTGCTTCCCCAGCTCTGTCTCTGGGACACAAGACGGGAGTCGGATCTCCAACCATTCAAAGCTGCCATGAGCAAACAAACCCCTGCTATTCCCCCCAGAACACTGCCAGTTTTATGTCATCTGTGTTCTCTTTCTACAAAAGACATTACAAAACCCCCCTCCCCAGCTCCCCTCCCCGGAAAACATGCTTGCACACGCACACACACCCGTATCTACATACATGTTCACATACGCACGCACAGATGTGCCCCACACACCCCCCCATTCACACCAGGAAAAACAGCTTGCAAACTCCTGAAGGTGGAAAAAGGCAATTTGCAAATGTGCCTTTGTTTCTGATAAGCTCCCTCCTCCCCCCTCCCATAACCCCACATTGCCCCTTCCCTCCCAAAGAATTGCCCTGTCCTCCCCCCTTCCCAGCTCTTCCAAAATAAATATTTTTATTTGTTGGTTTAAAAGATTCTTTTAGGCTTGTAAGCAAGAGAGAGGGAGAGAGAAAAATGAAAGAGAAATCTCACAGCATGAGAATGAACCCCCAGCATTTCATGAATCCATGAAAGAACAAACATGAAGGGGTTAAGAGCAGTGACAGAAGACAGATTAAAAAAAAAAAAAGACTGAGAAGAGAAAGATGAAATTCAGTAGTGAAATGGAAGTGAGGATAGAGCATTAGTGAGCACAGCCAAAGATAACCTATCCCCCCATCAGTTTTTCACTCAATGTCTTTAAATATCCCTCCCCCCTTTTTAAAAACTTCTCTTTTTTTCTGTGGTTTTTTTTTTGTTTTTTTCTTTTTTTTCTGTATTTTCTCTTTTTTTTCCCCTTTTTTTTGTTTTTGGGTTTTCGTGTTTGTTTGTTTTTTTACAGCAGGAAACCAAAATTGAGACAAACATCCCTCCCCCAAACCAGAGCCCCTCCCATACACCCTTCTCTCCCTTAGTCCCCCCACACTCTGTGGTTCTACATGTGCTGAAAAGAGAAAAGTAAGCTTAGAAGAAATCTAATGACTCAAAGGAATAAATGGTAATGATAGTAAAGAGTAAAACCCAAACCCAAAAGACCACAACACTCCTGTGTTGTCATTGTCTGAGTGTCTGTCCCTATCTCTCTCGGAGGCTGCAGGCATCAATTTACATAGTACAACCAGTAAACAAGGTTGAAGAATCCAAAGGTGATTGGAAAAATGATTCGTGACCACTTGTCAATGGTGCTGACATCTGCCAGGTCTGGGATTTTGAGCTTCAGCTTCGACGACCGCCGGCGGAGGCGGCAGTTGGCGCGGTTGCGGGCTGCAGCGTGGTGGGTCAGCGGGACGTGGCGGTCCAGGGTTGGGTGGTGACCAAACCCATCCCGAGAGGCCAGCTGCTTGCGGAACTGGATTCCTGAACCTTCAAAGGACATGACAGAGTTTCGAGAGTCGCCAACGCTGCTCATCATGTCCGTGGTCAGCAGCTCGTTGTTCATCTCCAGAGTGCCGAGGAGGATGTTACCGTAAGGGTCAACCTAGAACAGGGAAGACAGAGAGAAAGGTACCGAGGATGTCTTGTGCACAATGCACGCAGGGCCACCCCATCAAGGATGATTTTGAACTGTTTTCTATGTAACAATACCTCTGATTGGGTCATTTGTTAGCTCTGAACCTGTACTTCTGCATTTGAAAATGTTGTCCGCTGATGCTGGGGTAGAAGAACCAGCCACATGTGCTCACAGCAAACACTTGGGCAGAGTAGTGTGATTCTGCAAACACCATTGGGCCAAAAGCCACAGGGGTACTTTTGGGTACACCTGCTCTGTGCAAGAGGCTGGTCCTGATGAGACAGGCTTGAGGATGATGACAAAATGATCAAGGAGAAAAAATTCCCAGTAATCACCAGACAGGGGAACTGGAGCTCATCTGTCATGATGAGGAGAAAGGCTGCTCCACAGCTCACCCAAAACTGAATGAACAGTGGTGAGTCCTGTCACAAGGCGATTCTCCTGTCACAAGGAAAGAAGGGGACAAACCTGCTCTCTCACCCTCTTCTCCTCATAACGGTGGCGCTCGTTGTTGGCCTTGCTGATCCGTTCACTCTGTTTCTTTTGCTGCCGGGGGCCTCGCCCAAAGAATATGTAGTTGACAAAAGCATACTCCAGGAGGGCCAGGAACACAAAGACGAAGCAGCCCATGAGATAAACATCAATAGCCTTGACATAAGGGATCTTGGGGAGAGTCTCCCGCAGGTGGGTGTTGATGGTAGTCATTGTGAGTACCGTGGTGACCCCTGTAAGGAGAGGGTAGGTGCTCTGTTACTGAGGTGCAATGGTTTCCTGAAATGCCATTCTCAGCTTCCCCATCCCTCCTCCCAGCTGGACAACCTCAGGAAGGATGGGAGCAGTGCAACTGCAAAGAAAATTTTCAGTATTCTAAGCCCAGCTGCCCAGGACAAATTACTGCAGACAATAAACCAGGTGACAACAATGGGAGAAAACATCAAAGCTGGGGGTATCATCAGGATGACAGGGATGGACATCCTCTGGATCTTGGTTCTTTAAGTCCTCCCTGATCTCTCTTTTTCTCAATATGGTAGGAAATACTCAATTTTACTCTCAATCTCTCAACATCATCTTCTTCCTTTTTCTTTACTGCATGAACTCATCGGGCTTCCCTGGGAGCTACTGAATGCCTCAGTATATTTGCCATTAATTTATAACCTGCTGTATCTTTTCAGTGCCATGAATAGGAGCAGGAGTGAAGAGGCTCCCTCTTCATGGTGCTCTCTTTTTTTGCCTGCTTTATAGACCATCTACGTCCTTGACCCCATCAATTCCCACCTTCCTCTCACCAGCTTTACCACTCACTACTTAAATTACCATCATACACACTCCTTCCATGGTTCTCACACCCCTGCTTTTTAGCCTTACTCATATTCTCTGCATCTTAAACAAACATCTTTTGGTCTCACTGAACACCTTTTTTCCTCATCTACTCAGTCTCCAAGAACCTAGTGCACCATGAAAACTCTTACATTCAATCCTCTTCATTCATTTCTTCTCAGCCTCTTCCCCTCTCTGGACTGTCAGAGTGGCCTCAGATCTGTCTCTCTGACCAGTCTTCTGCCAGCTTCAAAAAGAGAGCAATGAGCCTTCATGCTTCTTTTGGGGGCAGCAACTTTTCCTCTTCAACCTAGTCTTCTTTTTCTGCTTCTCTAGCTCAGCTGTCCTGCTTTTCTTACTCCTTTGCTGATTTCCATTTCTTCGAGTGTCCCTCCTCCATCCTCTCCTCTCTGTGGTGGCAGCTGTTTTAATACCCATGACCCTAATTTGCTCTTCTGGTTTTAGCTCTTTCTCTACAGTGATGGTTCTCAAACTTGTCTGCACATCCTGGACATCTGATTGTCCTGTTTCCCCTTCACCTTTATCATGTCTTCAGTGTTATTCCTCATACAAGTTTTAAAAATCTGATAGTCTTCAATAAACAGAATTGTATGTATTTATATACACACAATATATTACATTGTCTATATTTAGACAATGTATTTAATCTAAATACACAGAAATCTGGGGCAAAGAAAGAGGGACTAGAATATTCTCCAATTCTCCATAAGAACTGGACAAATTGCAAGGGTCAGATAGAGAGCTGTCAGGAACAGTTTAGGGGGAGCTGCTCCAGATTTGATCTACAATGTTTTTATTCTGCCTTCTCCTTTGAATCCAGATGTCAGCAGAAATTCAACAGCTGTGCATCTTATGTCCACCCTTCTGCTTGCACTTTCACTGTGCCAGCAATGTCTGCCATGGCCTCTTTTTCTTCTCTCAACTACTCTTGTCAATGCCACTTTTTAAATTTACCACGTTCTTTTTGTCCCTTCCCTGTCTCCCACCTCCAGCTTCTCCAAGCACAAATAATGTATTTTACATCTTTGGACAAACCATTCCTCCTCTGAATCTTCTCAAACTCTGTCTTCTCCTAGAAGTGATTTAAGCCCCCAAACTTTTCTGCAAGACCCAGCCTCTACCTGTGCTCCATTGCCTCTGAACTTTCTATCACACCACACAGCCCTGGTCTCAAACACCAGCCATCTCCCCTTTCTTCCTTCTTCAAAATCCTCATTTGCAATCCACCCCCACTTCCCTTCTATTGCCCAAAAGACCACATTCTTTTTTCTTCTTATAGGAAACATTTGTATTCAGGTGAGCATGTGCTTAAAAAGAACTTCAACTTTAACTGCTGTACCATATTTACCTTGGTTATGAAGGTCTTCAGCTACAAAAATGTCTGTATTTGGCCTAAGTTCTAGGCCAAAAATAATTTATCATATAACTTATTTTTTCATCTTTCAGCCATTCACACACCATTCTTAATACTCTTTGGCCACCCAGCATTTATCATCCAACGAACTGGTCCTGGAACACCTGTTGACCAAGAGGTGTCCAGACTCTCTTCTTAAGAAAACAAGCCCAAATCAGATTGAAGGAACTGGAGGCCTCACAGTATGTCAGAGTTTCACATACCTGAGATGCTGTGACCATTCATGCTTTTGTTATAACTTTGTACCCACAGAAAGGACTTTTACTGGTTCACGTAATACAGACTCAAGGTTGGGGAGTACTGATAGTTCTGAATGAAAAGAAAAACAACAAACCCACAACCTAACTCTTTGGGCTGAAAATTTAAAGTTTGTTCTCAGAAAACATTTTCTTCATTTGTGACAACAGGTTTGATGGGCCCACATATCTTGCTTAGCTACTACCTTATTAAAAGGTGTTTTCTTTCTAAGAGCTGTCCTAGCTGATGTCCCTCAAAAAGCCACCTTCTCCAACATAAAATGACAAAGTACTTACCCAGTGCCACCCGTGCAGCAGAAGCATCATAATTGATCCAGAAGGAGACCCAGGACAGGATGGTGATGAGAATAGATGGCATGTAAGTCTGCAGGATGAAGTAACCAATGTTCCTCTTAATCCGGAAACTCAAGGATAAGCGCAGATATGACCCTGTCAATAAGAAATTCAAGGGAGGTGATGTTGGAGATGAGGGTAAGGTTGTATTTATAGTAAGAACTTAGGTTAGGAATTGAAATTTTATTGGGAAAATGTTCTCAAGAGGCAGGGATAATGGGAAGTTTGTCTTTTGTTCTTCATTTGGTTTTGCAGACTCATCGTTTTTGGAGGGGGCTCTTCAGAGTCTGCCCAGTTGGCTCAGAACAAGAGAGGAAACTCTACATAAGTTATGTTATTATATCAGACATCATGGGATAATGTCTGTTCAGTGCTGAAATTGCCATTATGGTATGTGCCAATTTGATACAGGTTTACACAAGAGACTTTAACCCTATATCTGGATGCAGTGAGATGATTTTCCATTGTTTCAAGTGGTAGCTTTTCCTCCAAACAGCAATGAAGATCTGAATCATATTTTCCCCATGCCGTTCTAAAAATGGGTTATGGTCAGCCTGGGCAAATTCATATGCAAATAGAGTACTGTGAGTTAATCTGGAGGTCTTTTGTTTTTTTCCAAGTTGTAAATTTCTCCTCATCTTCAAGAAAACCTAATGAGGATAGAGAGGACAATAAGTACTTTTATTGTGCTTCCACTGGAGCAGGGTCATTTTCACAGGGACAAAACATGACCTCTCTCATTGCTGTGAACTAAAGTCCAAAAAGTCATTCCTCCTTCCTACCTCCATCCCTTAGGCAATGCAGCAGCCTGAAAAATGGGTGTAATCATGAGTTGGCAGCTAAAGCAACAAGAGAACAACAGTCTTTAATGATCAAGGGGGGAAGACTGGGAAAAAGGAGGTTACATTCTCTCACCATTATGTGCAGCTTGAACACAAGCCTTTTTTTGAAGGTCTTACCTATTTAGACTGCAAACTTCTTTTGGAGAAATACTGCATCTTGTTGTGGTCTCTAGATTACCACTGCAATGGTACCCTTCTCCCAGCATGCCCCCAAAGCACTGTTGTAACAACACCACCATCTGCCACCACTGCTGATACAGACTCTGGATGTGATTTCACAGCATTTCAAAAATGGTCCTGTTTAACAGGTGTGTGGCACACTGTTCTGGCAGTCAGCTCCATGCCAGATCAAAATGAAGACAGCAATCAAAATCCAAGCCTCTCCAACTTTCCAACTGGCCGTATCTGAATCATCCAGGGTATTGTCTCCGATCTTTTTATTGCCGTGTACAGATGGGTTTGCATCAATTCATAGACCCCTTGCTTTTCAATGGATATATTCTTCTGCTTATTATTGCACCTGCATTAGCTTTGAGAGCCAGTTGCAAAGCATACAAAAATAAGGTAAAGGCTAAGAACCTTCTAAAGAGGTTCTGTTTTGAGCTCAGTTGGTGTTTTGACTAAGAAATGAAAACAACTGCAGAAAAAAAACAACCCTGATCCTATAAGTCTCTCAAGAGAAGCAGCCAAAAGTGTTGTGGGCACAGAAGAAGCCTCTTTTCCAAAGGAACAGAATTGTAAGTTGAAGCCTAGATCCTAAGTTAGTGCCTCAGCATCTGAATCAGAGGAACAACTGCATTGATGTTGATCAGCAGAAGGTTTGCATGTTCCATCACATTCCTTCAGCCGAGACTCACCAGTGGTGAAGACCACTTCCCTGCTGACCAGTCTCTGCTCAATGATAGTGAACTGGGGCAGTTCTAGCACCTCCATCCCCGTGACAGCAGAATCATTTCCTTGCCAGAAGAAGACAATGTCATCAACTGTGTAACCATCTGCAGAGATGAAGAAACACACAGAGAGAATTAAGCTGACAACATGATCACTAAGGTGGTCTGGAAGAGGATCCAAAGGAAAGCCCACAGCATCAGAGAGCAAGCTTAGCCCCTCTCTGCTGACTTTTCTTCTTCAGCTGAGCTTGGCAGTAGAGTACCCAGGAGGAGAGGAAAAAAAATTAGTCCGAACTCCCACTTCTGGCTAGAATTCAGAAGAACAAGGTGGCCTATCAAGCCTCGGCTTGCACTACATAATCTCCATGACTGACATGACAGGGGCTTTTGCATCAGAAGCCTCTATCAAACACAGCATTTTGCATTTCAAAAACTGCCTCCCTTTACCAGAAGGGGGAGACCACACAATGCATTCTGCTGGGGACTAGGTAAACAGAGCATCTAAGTATTAAAAATTCCCAGAGAGAAAAAGATTTACATCGGTGGTTGAAAATAAATTTGAGTATCAGAGCATCTCCTGCTTCTAAGCACTTTCAGGCAAAATGTGGAGTCGGGAAGTGGACAGCATCTCTGAGACTGGGGGCTGCTTTTACCAAGTGCTGGCTGAAAGGAGCAGTAGTGGGAGAAAAGATCTTTATGCTTCAGGGTAATGGATTTTTTAACTCAGCCAAGGGTACAGCCTCTTACTTTAACCCCGAAGTATACAAGCCAGTCAAGGTTGTACAGACTGGAAGTGGTGAGGAGCTCAAAGCCACAGTACAAGGAGAAAGACTCTTCAGAGTCTGCTCTGGACTCACGGGGAATGAGGGGAATGAAATAATGCAGCTCTTCTCCTAGTAGTGTGATGTTCACAACCCTGCCCATTGCCCTTGTGGGCCAGGACTCATCTCTTGACTTGAAAATTCAAAATGTTTGTGGCAAGTTGGGTTTTGAAGCTCTTTGGCTGCTGCTGCACAAGGGGTGGCCTCTTATTCTAAGTGCAGAGCCGCACAGGAGTACCTGTGTGTAAAGAAACAGCAAGATATGTACAGGCTTTGGTATGGCATGGTGCAAGGCTTCTTTTAGAGCCTGTACTGCAACTACAGAAAGCTTTTATTCATGACCTGCACTGCAGCATGACAGCCTGCCCTGTCCACAGGCAGACAGTTGGTTAGCAACACCCAGCAAGGCTGACATCCACTAGGGAGAGCTGCCACCAAATCTAGCACCAATGTATTAGTGGAATCAGGGGAATGAAAAGCTGTTCAGTATACCATGGAGGAAAATGCTTCTTTCTAGCCTTAGGGTCTAAGGGTTACCCCAAATCAGAGCTGAACCCTGAGAATGGTTGTCATCCTGCAGCTCCTGAGAGGACAAAGGGCTGATCAACCTGGTGTGATCTCATAACTGACCGTGCTTTGAACTAGGGCTAAACTTAGAGGCACCCTGGGGTCTCTTCCCAAACTGAATTATTTGATGACTGTATAGTCTTCAAGCCCACATCATGCACTCTCAGTCATTCCTGTGCTTATTCACGGGTGCTAAAAAATAATAACAATCTTCCAAATGTCATGCCAGATCTGCTTCTGGTGTAAATCACCTAAGCCAGGGCTCCACCTCCTTCCCTATTGCATGCTCCTGCTCCCATGGCAGTAAGTGATACAGTGCTCACACCCACGAGCCCACAGAGATTCAGGATCTTTAGGTTATCATCTCATCTGCTGCAGAAACTGAGGTGTCACAGGCTGTTGCACTGACTTGAGTACCCCGGCTGTGAGCACAAGAACTGATATTTGCATCTGGCAGCAGCATCTCTCCCGGAGCACCAAATGTGGAAAGCAGCAAGAAACAGCCAAGTCCCCCACTCCTCCCAGTCATTGATTTCAGCTGCTCAAACACTCTCACAGCTAAAAACATCATGTGCAATTTTACATTTGAATTCATCTGGCTCAGACTCTTAGACTCTGTGGTGGTTGTTCTGAATTTTTTGAGGAGGCTCTCAAGCCCTTTCCAGCCAGCACTCCCCCTCTGCAGAGGAGCACCTAGCCTGTAAACAAGTCACCTCACCACCTCCTTTGCAGTAAAAAAAACCAGACTGAGCTATTTAGGTTTCTCACTGCAAAACATCTGCTTTAGCACTTGAACCACTTTTCAGCATCTTTTCCCAACCTCCTCTGATTTCTCAACTTCCTTTTTCAATTTCGGAACCCAAATAGAGGCAGAGCAGCCCCTTTCCCCGTCTCACCAGTATCCCCTGCTCTGACTCACAGCTCCCCTGGTTTATATAACCAAGGTTTGATTCAACTCTTTCTGCCAGAGCTCTACTATGAAGCCTCCAGCAGCAGTGCTCAGGGCTGCTGCCCATCGTGTCCCCCAGTTGATAACCACAGTTCCAAGCTTCTCAGCCTGGCAGCCCTGCCTGGGCTCCTGCACCCAGGCACAAACCTCCACATTTAGCTGTGCTCAAATGCATTCTGGATGGATTCAAATTGGGAAGTATTCAAATGTGCAGCCAGCAAGCCACGCAGACTGCTATCTTCATCATCCACAAATTTAACAGCACTGACTTCAAATTTACTTCCTGATTGGCAATGAAGATGTCAAATTACAGCAACTAATTTTAGGAGACCTCGCAGTTAACTAACTCTATTCCATTATTCAATGACTTGCTGGTATTGGACACCAATTTTTTTGTATTTTTTTTTTTTTTTAAACTATTACATTATGCAAGATGAAATCAAACTTTTTATTTTTTTTTTGGGAAGCCATTTTTAAACAGTGATTCTACAGGAAAAGGTTGTTCAGTCTAAAAATAAATGTTTCACTTTGATTTCTAGCTTTAAAAAGAAAACCAAATTTCCATTTTGCCTTTAAAAAGTAAAAGAACTTTCACAAAGACAAGTCATTTCAAACTGAAATATCATAACCTATTGATAAGACAGCTTAAAATGTCAGATTAACAACCTGTTTGCTGCCTGCCTCATAAGGTTTTTGCTGAATCCTGGCACACAACTAGGCAGGGGTATGTTCAGTGAGGACTCTTTTGAGGACTCTTTTTGTGTTGGAGGGAAGGGATCAACAGGCAGTGCCAGCCACTGGCTTAGCTCCTGCAAGTACATGCATCCAGCTGCTGTGGAGAAGGAGAACCCAGCTGCCCACTGCTACAAACCCAGCACCTCTCCACCACAAAAGGGCTATTTGGGTGGTTTGTTTTAGAGTTTTTTTAAATAGACTTTGTTTTTTAAGTCAGCCATGAAAGGACTGTTATTCCAGAGTTGTATGGACTTGGAAGCCAACAAAATGGAGCCCTGTGGATTTCAAATGTGCAAGTGTTTGAAAGACAAAAGCTCTGAGGAAGGGAACAATTGAATCTTTTCATCTCTGCGTGGATCTTAGAAATATTGTAAGGAAACGCAGCTTCAACTAACAAATTGGCTTGACATGTCCCATTAGGAACAAAATTGCAACATGGGGAACTGTGGGTAATTCTCTGCCTTCTGTTTTCTTGGTTGTACCGTAAACTATTCTCAAAATGCTAAGGAGTGCCAGAAATGACACGTCATTAGTGCCTCCAGCAGGACCTAATTTACATCCCATTACCTGCCACGCCAAGCACCGCGATGGCCGCATCCCGAGCAACCTGAGCAGCCAGTGGGAAGGGGGGTCCCAGGTGCAGGCAGGGCTGGGTGCCTTCCAACCATGGATGCTGTGGGACCTCTTTATGAAAAAAGCGACTCTCTGATAATCACCACTGAAGCTGCATCATCATTACTCTGAGATCTGCTGCTCTGGACCGCTCCCGTGGGGACACTGCGGTGCATTTTTATGAGGGAGAGCTGGACCTTCTCTGCCAGCACAGGCAGGAGGGGCTTCCATAGGAGTCAAGGGAAGATCCAGCTGGGGAGGGACTGTGGGAGGACTCGGGTCCCACCTCCCACACCGAGCCATGACTGAGGGCAGGTTCCCAGGGTTTTCTTAGGACTAAGGAAGACTTCCATCATCCTCCTGAGGGTGAGAGTGAATTTAATGCCCAGCCTGCTGCCAGAGCTCCATTTCCCTGGGCATTTCACCCACGAGGTCCCCTCAGGATGGAGTCTGGATGAGTGAGCCTGTTCCTGCCCCAGGGGACATCCTCCAGGAGGGGTGGCCCATAACACCCCTGGGAGGCATCCCATGAGCAGGAAACTGTGGCTGGGGCAGGTGACACCGGGTGACACTGCATGGCAGGGCACAGGGCGCAGGGCATACGCACAGCTCTCGATCTCCAGCGTGCAGTTCTGCTGGTCCAGGGGGTACCTCCGCAGGTCCATCATGCAAGCAGCCGTGGTGGTGATCCTGAAAGGAGAAAGGGGGTGGGGGGAATAAATAAATCACTTGTGTGTTTTTTCTTAGGCAAAAAAAAAAAAAAAAAAAAGGAGAAATGAAAGGCAGCCGTGAAAGTCAGGCAGCATTTGGGGCCGCTGTTTCCCTGGAAGCCAGGGAGATCCATGGTGAGAGGTGTGCAGGGTGGAAGGCTGGATGCAGCTCACCCTCTGCTGCATGGCTTAAACCTTCGTGACTCACATCAGCAAGACAGTATCTCTATTAGTGGGGTGGGGAGGGATTTGCGTTCCTCCTCTGTCTCTCCCTTGAGAGAGACAAAGAAAGGAGGAATGGGCAGAGCTACAGGCAGCTGGGAAGGGGAGAGGCAAGTAAGAGGGAGACAGCCACACATGTCCATAAAATAGAAAATACATTGATTAAATCAAGCAGTAATGACCTATGGAGAATACCTGACCACATTATCACCCCCCATTCCTCCTGAGTTGCCCCAGTGATTCTACTTGCAGCCTCAGACCCATGACCCCCCCATCATACCCACTTTGGAACTGCCAAATCCAAAAGGCCAGACCCCACCAACGGGGCCCTTCTGCTCCTATGGGTTCATAGCTGTGGTAACAGAGTCACTCTTGTGCAACCAACTGAATGATCAAGATTCATGAGAGACACATGGGGAAGTGTGTGCACCCCCTGAAAAATAAATACAGGGAGAGAATGAGGGTCAGTGTTGCTTTGGGGGCATCAGAGCACAGAGTGGGGGCTGAGCAGCACGGTGCCCATGGTGTGTGTATGTTACATGTACATGAGGGAGCATTGCACTCTGGGATGGGGAATTTTGGGGTGGGAGAGATGAAGGAAGAGGGTATGAAGCAGGGACAGAGCAAATCAACAGCCTGGCAACACTGCCCTGGAATCACCAGGCTGCCTGCCCCTGTTTCTCAAATCTATTGCTCCCCTCAACCTTCAATGCAGTTTTCTTCCTGTGCAATGTATTTGTGCAGAGTGCTGAAGAGGGGGGAGAGATTGGTGCATTCCCCCCCTCTTTTTTTCAATTAACCATCTGGAAGGCATTAATCAAGCTACACATTTTTTACTATGTAGGCATAACCAGTGAACTGTTAACAAGAAAGCTTTATCTTCTGAGCCCTGTGGCTGGGGAGAGGGAGAAAAGAGAGGGGAAAAAAAAGAATAACAAGAAAGCAGAGAGGATGAGATGGCTAACCAGCAAAAAAAGGAAACACATCAATGAAAGAAAAAGAGATCAGAAAGGGGGAGAGGATGGGTGAAGCTGAACAGAAAATTGGAAAGGGGGGGAGAAGGAGGGAGCTAAGCACCTGCAGGAGAGGGCTGCCCCAGGGGGGGTGTTGGGGTGGGGGCTGTGGCGTGGCAGGCAAGCAGCCCTGCAGAGCTGCTGGCTCTTTAAGAAATCTCGTGTGCTAAATTTATCTCTCTGCTGTCTGTGAAGACTGTTTGTAGGAGATGAAGCCTTGAGGAGAGCCTTTGCCACTGCCTGCTGTGCTATAAATAGATCTGAAGAGACGGAGGGAATTTATATATATCCTCACTGGGTCTAGATACAACATTGGTACTGCCCTCCTCTGAGCAAGGGGGCCAAGTGAGCTCTTAACCCTTTTATCTGCAATGCTGTTGGGGTGAAGGAGAAAGCTCAGATGGCGAGAAGGATAACAGGTCAGGAGTCACTCAGAAATTATCACTGTGGCTTTGGGATTGCATGTATTGCTTTCACTGTCTCCCAGTTCAGTATCTCTAGGGGTGTGGCTGGAAACGCAACGTGTCTCCCACCCGAATCCTCCTGGATCAGGGACTGGGCACAGGGCGACTAAGGTGAAAGAGCAGATCTGAAGCACACCTGGGAGGAGCTGCACCTTGCCAGGAAAGCCCCAAGTGGCAGGTGCAGAGTCCATCCTGGCCAGACACTGAGACCAAAGAGTCACAAAGGACTATGACTCATCCCCCTGCACCACACACAGAAGATACTGTATATATTACACCTCATCCATGGGAAACAGCAGCTTTTCCTGAAGTGTGAGATGCAAAAATGTATTAAATGAAAATTTTCCACCTCATTTGTGGGACCCTGAGGGCTAAAACCTTTCCACAGCATCCATCCCAAAATTGCAGCCTGGCTGGCCAACCTGGCCACACAAAGAACAACCAGGGGAAGCCTTTTCTGGTTAGAGAGGGACCCTCTTGCCTCTCAGCAGAGCTTGCTTGTCACCTGCAGTGCTGGCTGGGAATGCAGAGCACGACACAGTGAGCTATGGCTCCACACTCCATGCGCCAAATCCTGCTCACACTAATAGCCAGCATAAATCCAGAGCCACTCCAATAATTTTTGCAAGATCACACCAATTTATATCAGCAGAGATTTACATCAGGGCAGAATTTAGCCTTGATGATTCAAAAAGAAGAGCACCTCAGGACAGCTAGGATAGAAAGGAGAAAAACAAGATTAAGAGGGCATCTTTCCTCAAAAGTCAGATCATTTCTCTCTCCTTCCAATTAAAGGGCAGGTGTATCCATACCTAGAGTTCAGAGCTACCCCAAATGGCTGCAGGTCCCAAACTCCTGGTGCCCATGTAACGCTGCTCGGGCAAGTGAGAATTGGAACCATGTAGGGTGAAGGATTTGTTCTGTCTTCAGAGCAGAGATAGCACAACTGCACAGAGCTGTCCTGGGCTGTGGCCACCTGCTTGCCTGGAGCATTTCAGCTGTGGTGCTGTACCCACAGCGACGTGCACCCAGCAAGCCCAGGGACACCAGCACTATAGGGCAATCTGGATGCAGGGCTCCTGCAGAACAGGAGAGATGTGAAGGGCAGCTGGTCTGAGGCCACAGGACCAACCTCTGCCTCATGCTTTAATGAGAATAAAAGTACTACCTCGATATGCTCTGAGCTGTTGTGTGAAGAGATGTGCTTGCTTGGCACATAGAAGACAGCACTGGAAGGACTGGATGGAGATATATGTGGTGGGGATCGACACTAAGGAACTCCTGGATGTCTCAAACAGGGTTAACAGGCAATAAAGGTGGTAGGGAAGTAAGAGGTGGGAAAATGAGGAGATGATGAAAAAGTGATGACAGCATGAGCACTGATGTGGGAGTCAGGAGTGGAGATGAGAGACAGGAGAGCAGATAGTGCAGGACAAGAGGCCACTGGGGTAAGGGAGCAGAGGAGAGGGATCAGGGGAAGCAAGAGGTAAAGCAGCCTAGGGAAGGAGAGCTGAAGAACAAGAGGTTAAAAGATAGAAAGCAGAGGAGGAGTGGATTCTCACTCTGTGAAAAAGCAGATGAGGAGATAGAGAAGAACCCATGGCCTGTAAACAGCTCCAGACAGAGCTCTGCCTCCAGGAGACACAACCAAAGCGGAGGGAGGCAGGGAGCGCGGGGCCAGCGGGGCCGCTGGGGCGGGATGGATGCCACCTTCCCCGGGGCCTCAGCTAGAGGTGCTGGCTCCCAGCCAGGCTGCGTCTTCTCCTTCCCCCTCCTCCTCTCCCCTTTTAAATTCTAAAATGTGTGTGGTGTGAAGTTTCATCTGCTTTGACAGCAACACCCAGAGCCACTGGCTGTCCGAGGGGACAGGCTCTGCACAAGGAGCTCAGTGAGCTACACCTGCTGCCTCCAGCTGACGAGCCCGGCCACCATCACCACCCTCTGCTTTCAGCTTCCCTTCTCTCCTTCAATCTCTGCCCACCCCACAGGCCTCTGGGCCAGTCCCCACACGTCACAACCTTTACACTTCTTTTCCCACAAAGATGACATTCATGCCCTTGCCCTAATAATTTCTCCTGAGGTCTGTAGGCAGTCGTGCTATCAAGCAGCCAAGTCCTCACTGCCCTGCAACTCTGCTGCACAGCTGGCAGATGGACACAGTTCATCTGGGGGGAGACAGGGCTGTGGAGAAACCACTGTACATCTAAAAAAAAACAACCCACACAACAAAAAAGAAAAAAAGGGAAAAGCATTCATGAGATGTTGAGCAGCTCTGGCAGGCTGTTGGCTGATGGAGATCCCCCTTCTCTGCCAGCACACAGTGGATTCACACAGAAGCCAAAGTAGCATGGATACCTCACTCTGATGGTATCTCAGGAGAGGTAGAGAGCATCTCTAGAAAAGCAGACACAAAAACCCAAGCGACACAGGGTGAGTGCTAGGTCTGTGTGACAGTGAGGAAAGCTCTGCCCACCTGAAGCTTCTATTGACATAGCAGATGCTGGCACAAAAAGGGTAATGCAACCTTACCCTGCTGTCCCTCTGCAGCTGCCTGCTCTGCACACTGAACTTAGCAGCAGCAAACAACTGTCCTACCACAGCTGCAGCTCAAAAGTGAATGTTCAAGCTTCTGCAAACTGTCAGTCCTCCACAAATATTTCAGTTCTCTGACACAAACACCACCACCTATTTCATTCCCTCTCTGATCCTCCTCATCACTGTTTATTTATTAATGGCTTCCTCTGTCTTATTTAGAATGATTATATAAGTTCACAGACACAGAGCAGCACAGAGCCCCAACTTGCTATTAAAACCTGCCATGGTTGAATGTCTTCATCTCCTTCTGGTCCTGTTGCTGGCTGCCTCCAAGGTAGAGGCCCTTTCAACTCCTGCTCCAGGCAGATCTCACTCTACCAAACTTCACCTCTGAAGGTCTGCAGCTTTCCATTCATCCTCTAGACCATCTCCATAGTGTTGGGAGAAACAAACCAGCTACAAGTATAAGGGGCCAAAAAATCACTTCCCCAAAATACCATCTGAATTCAAAAGGAGCAGATCCAGACTCTCTAAGAAAGACTGGGTGGGAGAGAGAAGACTATTATTACCTTTAAGGAGTTTTTAAAGTAAGTGAGGTCCCTTTCTTGTCAAGCTCACCCTTACAAAATGAAATTACTGCACTGTTTGCATCATAGCTGTGTCTATACCAGCAAGCTAAACATGCCTGGCACTGGTTTCTGGGGCTGATGTTAATCAGTACAGAACAGCCTTTGTCTACATTGAAA